TGAGGGAGTGCTGCACTGTCAGAGGGTCAGTACTGAGGGAGTGCTGCACTGTCGGAGGGTCAGTACTGAGGGAGCGCTGCACTGTCAGAGGGTCAGTACTGAGGGAGTGCTGCACTGTCAGAGGGTCAGTACTGAGGGAGCGCTGCACTGTCAGAGGGTCAGTACAGAGGGAGCGCAGCACTGTCAGAGGGTCAGTACTGAGGGAGTGTTGCACTGTCAGAGGGTCAGTACCGAGGGAGCGCTGCACTGTCAGAGGGTCAGTACTGAGGGAGCGCTGCATTGTCAGAGGGTCATTACTGAGGGAGCGCTGCACTGTCAGAGGGTCAGTACTGAGGGAGCGCTGCACTGTCAGAGGGTCAGTACTGAGGGAGTGTTTCACTGTCAGAGGGTCAGTACTGAGGGAGCCCGCTGCACTGTCAGAGGGTCCGTACTGAGGGAGTGCTGCACTGTCAGAGGGTCAGTACTGAGGGAGTGCTGTACTGTCAGAAGGTCAGTACCGAGGAAGTGCTGCACTGTCAGAGGGTCAGTACTGAGGGAGTGCTGTACTGTCAGAAGGTCAGTACTGAGGGAGCGCTGCACTGTCAGAGGGTCAGTACCGAGGGAGTGCTGCACTGTCAGAGGGTCAGTACTGAGGTGAGATGCTGAACTGTTCAGAGATAAATTGAATGTCCTGAGTTTCGAATTCCCCAGCTGATTGGTAACATTGAGGTCCTTTCTGCAGATGGAAGGCCCTGCTCGAGCCTTTTATTTGGCACGTTCCACAGACATGGAAAGGACATGGGGAACTCAAAGTTGGTTAGGGTGGGTGAGGATCTGTCATCCAAAAGTCTCCTGACCGTTTACTGCCTGTTATTGATATTGGAAGTTCTCTGACATCATGATCATAAGCATCTCACATCGCACTGCACCGATGGCAAGACATGAAAGCTTGATTTCATAACATTTTATGTTGTTGGTCCTTTTGGTCTTCATGACATTCTGAACCGTCAGTCCCTCCTGTCTGTAACAGCTTCTCATCACTCCTCACTTATCCCTCTAACACTGGGCCTCTCCTCAGTGCGCACTCTCTCTTGAACATCTCTTTCTCCGGTTTCTATTCACTGATGCCTCGTTCTCAGTGTAACCTAAGCTGAGACCTTGACCTCTGAATTTCTTCCCTTATTCCTCCTCAGGACCTCATTCTGGCTATAGAGAATCGGACGATGTGTCGAGCGGAGGGGATTAGCCTGTGTGATGGCGAGCGTCACTCAGTCAATCTCACCGTAACCGTTGAAGGCATCCTGTGGACTGTGGATGAAGTTGCTCACAGGAGCCACTTGACCAGCTCGGAACTGAGGAAGCAACTAGTCCTGTTGGATCAAGCCATGCAGGAAACAGTCAATACCACACTAGGAGGCATACCAGGTAACTTTAGTGCAGCTAAATAGAACCTGCTACCTATAGACACCAGGGGCTACATTCTCCCAACACTCCTGTTTCCAAAAGGGCTCACACACAAATGCACAGAAACACTGGATGGAGTGACACAGTCTCAGAAGAAAGGATTGGTCATTTCGGACTGAGTTAAGGAGATATTTCTTCACTCAAAAAGTTGTTAACCTTTGGGATATTCTAGCCCAGAGGATTGGGAATGCACAGCTATTGAGTATACTGAAAACTGAGATTGACAGACGTTTGGCTGTAAGGGAATGAAGAGATATAGACATGAGGTTGGTACATGGATTTGAGGTGGAAGATCAGCCATGAATTTATGGGATAGTGGTACAGACTGAATGAACTGAACAGCTTTTTCCAGTTTTTATGTTGATGAGCAGGAAAACTGAAAATCAGAATGCAGTATGATCCAAACCAGTTCCAGGCAATACCTCCCCTTTCACACAGGGTCCAAGATGAAACTTTGCAAATGATAATAGTTAACTCGCAGGAATCTCATCACTTTCAGAGCCTTAAACAACCTTCTTGACTTGAATGCACATTGCTTTGAAATTGACTTATTTTCTATTCATTCATGGATGTGGACATTGCAGACAAGACCCATTATCTATAGACATCCCCAGTTACCCATGAGGAGGTGGTGGTGAACCGTCTTCTTGAACTGGTACAGTCCCTGTGGTGCATGTGCATCCACAGCGCTGTTAAGGAACCAGTTTCTGAACTTTTCTGTACATTCCCAAAATGTAGGCATCACTGATTGGGCTAGCATTTATTGCTCATTCCTTAATGCCGTCGAGAAGGTGGTGATGAACTATCTTCAGTGCAGGTCTCGGGTCAGTTATACTCACAAGGCTATGAGGAAGGGAATTCCCCAGAATTTTGACACAAGTGAGGATATGGTGATATAGTCCCAAGTCAAAATAGCGAGTGGCTTTGCGGGGAACTTGCAGGCAGCGGCACTCCTATGCATCTACTATCTTTGATCTTCGAGATGGTAGAGACTGTAGGCTGTTAAAGAAGCTTTGGTGAGTTGCTACAGTGTATCTTGTTGATGGCACACACTGCATGTCAGTGGTGAAGGGACTGAACGTTCAAGGAGGTAAATATGGTGCCAATCAAATGGACTGCTTTGTTTGGAATGGTGTCACTCTTCTTGACTGTTATTGGAGCTGCATCCTTCCAGGCAAGTGGGAAGTATTTGATCACTCTCCTGTGTTGTGCTTTTCAGATAGTGAATAGTCTTTGTTTGGAGTCGCAGGAGATGAGTTACTTGCCACAGTATTCCCTGTTTCTGATCTGTTCTTGTAACCACAGTATTTAGTTCAGTTTTTGGCCAGTGGTATGTCCTAGGATGTTGCTGATGGAGAATTCAGTGATGGTAACATCACTGAACATTAGAGGGTGATGGTTCGATTCTCTGGCACTCTTGTAGTTTGTATATATATTGCTTGAAACTTATCAGCCCAAACCTGGATGTTGTCTATGTCTTGCTGTCAATGGACACTGACTGCATCAGTATCTGAGGAGTCTGAATGGTGCTGAACTTTGTGCAATCTTCAGCAAACATACTCACTCATGGTGGAGAGAAGCAGCTGAAGATGGTTGGGCCTTGGACACTACCCTGAGGAACTCCTGCACAGATGTCCTGGAGCTAAGATGGCTAAATTTCCAACAACCACAACCATCTGCCTTTATGTTGAAAATTACTCGAACCAGTAGAATACCTTTCCCCAAGTTCGCAATTTTGCTTGGGCTTCTTAATGCATTATCCAATCAGATTCTGCCTTAGTGTCAAGGGCAGTCATTCTAATGTCAAATCATGAATTCAACTACTTTGGGCCATGTTTGTACCGAAGCTGGTATTAAGGTCAGGAGCTGTGTGGGCCAGAACCCAAACTCAACATGGGTGTGTAGGTTATTGCTGAGTGAGTGTTGCTTGACAACACTGTCAACAACACGTTCCATCACTTTGCTGATGATGAGGAAGGTGCTAAGGCAGTAGTTGGCTGAATTGGATTTGTCCTGCTTTTTATGGACAGGATGTACTTGGGCAATTTTCCACGTTGTTGGGCAGATGTTGGTATTGTAGATGTACTGGAACAGTTTGGCTGGAGACATAACTCATTCAGGAGTACAAAATATCAATAGACTGAAAATTGTCTAGATTCAAGAGATAGCTGCCAGGATAATGGTGATCATCTTTCAAAATTCTAATAATTTGGCAGTGGTGCCTGCCGATTGGAAGGTTGCAAATATAACCCACTGTTTGAAAGGAGAGAGGGAGAGGAGAATAAAATAGAGTACAGACTTGTTAACCTGACATCAGAAGTAGGGAAAATATTAGAACCTCTTATTAAGGATGAGCTTACTGGATATTTTAAAAATTGTCTGATTGGTCAGTGTTTAATGTGAATTTATGAAAGGGCAATCATGTTCAACAACCTTGATAAAGTTTTTTGAGAGTCAATAGTGGGGAACCAATGGATGTGTTATGTTTGAATTTTCAGAATGCTTCGTCCCAAAGAGGAGAATAGTAAACAAATCAAAATGCATGGGATTATGTGTAATATGCTAGCATGGATTGGTTAACAAGCAGAAAGTAGGAAGTTGGAAGAAATGGATCATTTTCAATTGGCAAGTTATGACCAGTGAGGTACTGCAATGATCAGGTTCACAATATATAGCAATGATTTGGACATAGAAACCAATTGTAATATTTCCAAGTGGGAATGTGAATTATGAGGAGGAGGCAAATAGACTTTGGGGGTTTAAACAGACTGTGAGTAGGTAAGAGCATGGCAGATGGAATATAATGTGGATAAATGTGAGGTTACCTACATTGGTAGAGGGAAAGGAGGCGTGGAGTATTTCTCGTCTGGTGTGGAATTGGATAGTGAGATATGCAAAGGGATCTGGATGTCC